AGGGAAGGTGCTAGCACCCTTTCTATCCATGGTTTTCCATGGGCTCTTAGGTACTTGCTCACTTTTAAATTGCTTGTGTTTGTGTGCTTTTTTTTGAAAATGTTTTACTTCGTGATAACCTTTGTATTAGTCCTCAAAGGTGTGACAAAGTTTGTTTTGAAAATTTATTTGAAAAGGTGTAAGTGTGAAAAGTTTTGATTTGAGCAAGTACCTACTAGCATCTACCTACTCGAAAAAAGATCGTTTCTATTCTTGTTTCCTTTAGACAGTGATATCCCACTATTGACAAATAGGTAGCATCGTCATTGGAGTTGTAAGGGTCAATTCGAAAGGCACTACAAGAAAATTAGTGTTTAACGACACAAAAATTGCGACAGTTATGTGATAATTGTCGTAATTGACATATAGAGACAGTGTTTACGACAGTTGACACCAACCGTCCCTAATATTTATTTTGCGACGGTATATTTAACCATCATAATATTATTATTACGACGGTAAAACAACCGTCGGCCCCCATTTAACACTTTTAACATTGATTTTTCACCAACAACTAGTCACGACGGTAAAATTAACCGTCCTAAAAGGCATATCACGACGGTAAAGCATCCGTCGCACCCTTAAACCTTTCACGACGGTAAAATTATCCGTCCTAAAATTCATTTCACGACGGTAAAACAACCGTCGCACCCTTAAACCTTTCATTTGAGTTTGAATATATTGAATTGATGTTAGGTTTTCTAATTTGTTGTTTTAGGGTTTTATTTTTTTTAATGATTTTTTAGGATAATATTTGGTTAGGATAAAATATGTATCATCCCTTATCCATTCTATGATACTGAATTTTGTCCAAACTCAAGCCATAAATCTTCCAACAACAACCGATAACATCATCATCATCATCAATGACAACCTTTTCAACTGAATTCTTATCACACACTCTCAATTTCAGAAACCACCCAAACCGCACTTCTCGCCGTTCAAATCCCAACACTATCGTCACTTCCTCAACCCCGGGCAACACCAACAACCGAAGAACAAGAATCAGGGTCAATGAAACAAGGCCAAAACTTGATCAAGATTACGATGAAGCTCTCATTAGGTCATTCAAATCAGCTAAGTACAATCGAGCTCTCCGCTTTCTTAAGCGCATGGTTGACAGGGGTTTTTAACCTGATGCCATTCTCTGCCATTCTCTTCATCATCTTCCTCTCCATCTTTGATATTTCACTTTGTGGGGATCGAGATAAACCTGCTCTAATAACTTACCCAGATGTGGCTCTCAATTGTATGATTTTGTACTTGTTGCTCATTTTGGTTTGATTTTGATGTGTATGAGGGAATTTCAACACCAGATTGTTAGTTTTAGATGTTTGGTGCTTTGTTTATGTGTTTGGAATCACTATGGATATGGTTTTTGAAATCATGGAGTGTTTTTTTGCAGATGTGTCTTGTTTTCAGGGTCTGTTGTTTTGTCCAGAAGCAGCTTCTTTGATGCTTCGTAACTTCTGTATTTATCACATTGATGCTCCAGGGCATGAGGTTAGTATACGGATTCTTTCTAGTGTTATTGTACATGCTAGCTTCAATTTCATTGAATTCACATCAATTTTTTCTCATTTGTTTAAGAGATATTGCAGTTGGGAGCTGATGTGATTTCTTCGGATGAACCTTTGCTTTGTGTGGATGACCTAGCTGATCAGGTTGCAGAAGTGCTTGATTTTTTCGGGTAAGCATAACATTCGCTATTCACCGATTCTATATTGAACTAAGGGAACTGAGTAAATATTCACTAATGAAACTGGCCTTATGATAGACTTATTTGGATTATGATTTTAACTTTCATACGAAACTGTCATGAATCAGGCTAAGAGAGGTTATGTGCATGGGTGTAACAGCCGGTGCTTACATCCTCACACTATTTGCTGTAAGTTAGTAACTCTGAGCTGAGTTATAGTTTTATGAGTTTCATGTTCAACAATCTAATATAGTAAACCATCGTGTTAATTTTTTCATCACTTGGCAGATGAAATACAAAGAACGAGTGCTTGGATTGATTCTTGTTTCACCGATTTGTAAAGGACCTTCATGGACTGAATGGATTTACAACAAGGTTTCCTCTCAGCCTTCATGCTTTTATCATAAGTTATCTTTTGAAATTGAAATTCCAACAACTATATCAAGGAAAGTAGTAATGTGCCAAACTATTTATCGTGTGTGTTTGAAAATCATTGTTTCCACAGTAACATTGTGAGTTGACTTCGAAGCTGCAGCTGTTTAGTTGACCGCACTTTAAAAGCCATCTAACTGTGATTCTAAACGCCTTTAGCATACAACAAAACAATATAAAACTTGTAAAATGATCCCTTGAAATAGAATGTTTACAGGTTTTCTACATATATGTAGGTCTTGATGAACTTATTGTACTTCTATGGTATGTGCGGTTTACTGAAGGAATGCCTCCTGCAACGTTACTTCAGTAAGGTATTCTTCTCATTCTTTATCAGGTACTATGCAGGTAGAATCATTTCTGGAGGTGACATTACTTCTCTACATCTTTTATAGGAGCTTAGATGCAGTATTGAGGGATCAGAATCAGAAGTAATACTAACTTGCCGAAGAGTATGTAAAACTCTATTTTTTCCTCAGAAAATGCCTAATTAACTTGGCAATTAGGATAATTTTGTATGTGTACAATTCTGATTTGAAGATTCTCTTTTCTGTTCTATAATTGCAGCTTCTGGATGAAAGGCAAAGTTTAAATGTCATGCGTTTTCTTCAAGCAGTTAATGCGTAAGTAATGATGTTTTTTACAAACTTCACTCCTCCCTCCAAATTTTTAATCTATCTAAGCCATTTCATACAACAGTGTAACTGTCTCAATCCTGTTTTTATTGATGGTAACCTCAATATTCTCGAGAATTCAATGTCAACATTCATACTGTTGGAAATTCCGCCTTCTTTGCTGTCCGCCCCAAGTCACCTAATTGTGGCATGTGTGTTGCTTTCATTGCACCCTCCAACACCTACATTGTGTCGGCTTTTAAGGGGTGAATTTAGTCTCATATTACTTAGAGATATCACATATGTTGGGACAACCCTCGCCGTACAAGCCGATTTTGTAAGATTGAGTTAAGTCCAACCATATTTCATAAGATGTTTTGGATATGTTGTTGGGCTTTCTGCATCATTCGTGTTTCAGCCTCTCATCGAGACCCAAGCACGAGGGGGTGTTTTGGATATTCCACCTTTATTGTGGTTCGCCCTAGTCTAATTGCGACATTTGGCTTGCCTTCATTCCAACCTCTAGTTGACTAGTTGGACATTTTTGTCCTGCCCCTAGTTGTCTAATTGCGGCATTTGTGTTGCAAATTCTTTCTACACTTATAAGCGCATTATTTTATAAGTGAAACCAAATTCTAACTTGTGGCTATGGACTTGATATGGATTTTGGGCGGACTAATATGGCATGAAATGTAAAAAGACAACAAACAGAGATAATGCAACTTGGATAATGGCAATGAAGATTTAAAACTTAAGGAACTTAATTATCAATTGTTCTCATGGTTAATTATTGATAACAACTTAAATATTCTCAAGATATTTGATGTTAACGTTTTCTGTCTTGTTTGAAAATTCTTTTCTATACTTAGAATGCCTCTTATAATAGTTATTATTGCACACAGTTGACTCTTATTATTGTATGAGTGGACCAAATTCTAGCTTGTGGATTATGAACTTGTTTGATTTTGGGAGTGGACTAAAATGACATAAAATATACAAAGATGACAAAGGGATGATGCCAATAAAATGTGGAAAATTTAAAACTTTAGCAACTTACTTATGATCATTTGTTCCCATGATTCATTACCAAAATGTTGAAATACTTGCAGAAGGCGCGACCTCAGTGAGGGACTAAAGAACTTGCAATGCAAGACACTTATATTTGCAGGAGAGAGTAGTCCATTCCATGCCGAGTCTATTCACATGAGTACAAAAATGGACAGCAAAATCTGTGCACTTGTTGAGGTACCGTCGTAATCCATGTCCATTAAATATGAAATTACATAAGATACTCAAATAACACATAAACATAACACAATTGCTTTACAAACCTCACTTGATCAGGTTGAGGCTTGTGGCTCACTAGTAACAGAAGAACACCCAAACTCCATGATAGTACCAATTGAGTGTTTCTTAATGGGTTTTGGCTTCCACAGACAACCACATTTTGCTTCCTCATCAAGCAACGGTTCAAGTCCAGCAAGCCCCTCTAATCATTCAATCATGTCACCAGAACTCCTCTCTCAAGAAAGTTTAGGAATTAAGCTAAAGCCTATCAGAACCCGTGTTCATGTTGAAACCTGACTAAGTCCCTTCACAATCAATGTTCACAACCTCAACCTCATTTCAGCATGTAGTAGTAAGCTTTCTTTCTACCACTGCACATAATAGTGTAGGTTATAATATTCTTTGATTGTTTTTTAGCCCTATAGTTGATTATAGGATTATTCTTTTAAGAGATAGATATATCTCAAAACATAGTCTATATTGATTGTAGTTGCACCCTTTAAGCCCTATTCGTTTCTGTTATTAATTATTTGTGAAGTGAATCTATATGGACCAAATTTATTTAATTTTTTAAAAACTTGATTATTCTTTAGGCTGATTGAGTAGCTTAATCTATGTTAATTACGTCTAACATAACAATAACAAAATCTGTCTGTTAAGTTAGGATTGGCAGGCAATTTAAATACAAGGTTAAATGTATGCTTAAATTTAATAAATACATGAATTTATATATAGAGGGTTTACAAAACCAAAGTGTGTGGCAACAACAATTCAAAGTGTCATCGAAGTTTCGTCAAATTCATGTAACATACACTAAAATTAACAACAACATTACAACCAAATAAATGAAACTGGCCTTATGATAGACTTATTTGGATTATGATTTTAACTTTCATACGAAACTGTCATGAATCAGGCTAAGAGAGGTTATGTGCATGGGTGTAACAGCTGGTGCTTACATCCTCACACTATTTGCTGTAAGTTAGTAACTCTGAGCTGAGTTATAATTTTATGAGTTTCATGTTCAACAATCTAATATAGTAAACCATCGGGTTAATTTTTTCATCACTTGGCAGATGAAATACAAAGAACGAGTGCTTGGATTGATTCTTGTTTCACCGATTTGTAAAGGACCTTCATGGACTGAATGGATTTACAACAAGGTTTCCTCTCAGTCTCCATGCTTTTATCATAAGTTATCTTTTGAAATTGAAATTCCAACAACTATATCAAGGAAAGTAGTAATGTGCCAAACTATTTATCGTGTGTGTTTGAAAATCATTGTTTCCACAGTAACATTGTGAGTTGACTTCGAAGCTGCAGCTGTTTAGTTGACCGCACTTTAAAAGCCATCTAACTGTGATTCTAAACGCCTTTAGCATACAACAAAACAATATAAAACTTGTAAAATGATCCCTTGAAATAGAATGTTTACAGGTTTTCTACATATATGTAGGTCTTGATGAACTTATTGTACTTCTATGGTATGTGCGGTTTACTGAAGGAATGCCTCCTGCAACGTTACTTCAGTAAGGTATTCTTCTCATTCTTTATCAGGTACTATGCAGGTAGAATCATTTTTGGAGGTGACATTACTTCTCTACATCTTTTATAGGAGCTTAGATGCAGTATTGAGGGATCAGAATCAGAAGTAATACTAACTTGCCGAAGAGTACGTAAAACTCTATTTTTTCCTCAGAAAATGCCTAATTAACTTGGCAATTAGGATAATTTTGTATGCGTACAATTCTGATTTGAAGATTCTCTTTTCTGTTTTGTATGCGTAAAATTTATAATGCTGGTATGTTTTCTACAACAACATTTGTTGAACACTACAACACTATGGTATAGTTTTTTGACTAAATAATTGTGGTATGCCAGAATATATTTGTTGCAGGAACAGACACAAGCACGTACACACTAGAATGGGCAATGGCAGAGTTAATGCACAATCCAGAAATCATGTCAAAAGTACAAAATGAACTCGAACAAGTTGTTGGCAAAGGTATTCCAGTCGAAGAAACAGACATAGCCAAATTACCATACATGCAAGCAGTTATAAAAGAGACGTTTCGTGTACATCCACCAGTTCCGTTATTACTACCTCGCAAAGCAGAAACAGATGTTGAAATTGGTGACTACATTATTCCAAAAGATGCACAAGTTTTGGTTAATGCTTGGGTTATTGGCAGAGATCCAAGTAAATGGGAGAATCCTAATGCTTTTGTGCCGGAGAGATTTTTCAATAGTGAGATTGATTTTAAAGGACATCATTTTGAGCTTATTCCATTTGGGTCTGGTAGAAGAATTTGTCCTGGTTTGCCTTTGGCTATTAGAATGTTGCCTTTGATGTTGGGATCTTTGGTTAATTGCTTTGATTGGAGACTTGAAGATGGATTGAATGTCGATGATTTGAATAAGGAAGATGAGTATGGGATTACCTTGGAAAAATCTCAACCTGTGAGAATTGTTCCAATCAAATTGACTAAGCAATAATTTAGAATATATGCACGGTTCTTTCATGATGCAGCGGTTTGTAAACTCTTGATGTTGTCTGACCAAACAATACTGTTCTCTGTCAATGGAACTAGGATTTGTGGTCGTGCCAACATTTTACTTACTATAAGAACTAGTTATAAATAATGTGTAATTTGTTTTTGTTTTAATTTGGTGAATGGATATGGTCTTCTTCATAGAGTAAATTTAGGTTCTATTATGTTATTTGAATAAGTCACACTGTTATGGTCCTGGGAGGATCATGGGTTCAGTTTAGGTTATCCTAGTTTATAGGATTTGTTTGTTTCGATTTTCTAGGCACCTTCTATCCGTTTTATTAGGCACTATCTAGTGCATTCAGTTTCTTTTGCAGTTTCCTTTGTAAGGCTATTTATAAGCCATGATTCCTATTAATATATAAGTGAGAGAGAATAATGATTACTTTGGCAGGGTGATGGATAATAATTTAAATAAAAAATATATATAATAGAAAAAAAAAAAAAAAATCAAGACATAAACAAAAGTCATGGCGACAGTAGCGAACCGTCGTAATTAACAATTAAAAAAATCAACAAAAGTCATGACGGTATCGAACCGTCGCCATAAATAATTTAATCAATTTCAAAAGATATTCACGACAGTATCGAACCGTCGCCATCAATAATTAAAAGAAACTCAAAAGATAGTCACGACGGTATCAACCCGTCGTAAACTTGAACGACAGTTTTTGTAACCGTCGCGAAATAGGTTGGGGACACACACTTCTGCGACGGTAAAGCAACCGTCGTGGAAATCAAATTGCGACGGTTTTAACCGTCGTAATCTACAAAAATACCTGTCGCAATCTGCCAATTTTCTTGTAGTGAGGGACGTATAGTCACTAAGCAATGTTAGGAAACCTTAGTAGTAACCCTAGAGTCTTAAGATCTTTCTGAGGTAACATTTCCGAGGCAACATTCGAACGGGATAATTTGATCTTTTAGACTGAAGGGTAACCACTAAGACACACTATGCTTAATGATCGTTTACCGAAGGCAACCGAAGTGAGAGTATACCCTAAGAGCGAATATGTGCCAGTGATCCATTTTCAGTTATTTAATATTTGCACATTAGGGTTTTCTAACCATTTTAATTTTGTCATGCATTCTTGCCATACAATCCTATTAGCATACATCTAGACAATTAAATATTTGCGGGAATTAAAAATGCGAGAAAAATAACCTAGCTATTACAAGGCTTTGGGGAGGGGGATTAATTACATAGCCAAAAATCAGGGATTTAAACAGTAAATAAAAACCTAAGTTAACTATTACAAACCCTGAACAGTTACAAAATAATGGTGAAATAATTAACAAGCGAGCGGCGAATTAAATGCGAGGCGATTAGGGTTTTGACCCTTTGACTAATCCTACTTGCGATTGATTAAAGAAAAAAATGTTTTTTTGTCATGTTTTGTTATTAGAGAAAATAATGAAGAATTAAATTAAAAGAAAATCCTAAGTTCTAATTAATGTTAATTTTTGGAAAATAAATTAATTAATTCTAAACAACCTATTTTTGTATTTTTTTTATTTTATTTGGGAAAAAGGAGAAAAATTAAATCAAAAGTTAACCTAGTTTTCTAATTTAATTTTAATTGTGAAAAAGAAACAAATTAAAGTTACCCTAAATTAAATTAAATTAATTAATTAACAAAAAAATTAATTTAATAAAAAACCTAATTCTAATTTTGTGAATTCTTGATTTTATGATTTTAAAAAAAAAAGTGATTAATTTTGTGAAAAAAATAATTATGCAAAAATAATTAAATGAGGAAATAAAAATAAGAAAGAAATAAAAATGGGCCTGTGTTGTTGTTAGTAATGCTGGGGGTGCAGATCTGATTTTTGTAAGGCCCAAATACTCCAAGCCTGGTTAACCACGCTTGATCTAGTGCAATGTTGACTTTGTAGAACACCATGGTCCTTCATTACTGGCATGTAGGATCTGGGTAGGAGCACATCAGATGGCTGAATATTGAGGTTGTATGGAATGCGCTTGAGAATGTGGTGCACCTGATCATATGAGAAAAAATAACACAAAGCAAATGTTGGGACCTGGGATCGAACCTAGGTCCTTATGCTCAATTCCAATGCTTGCCTGCCAGCTGTGCTACGCGTTCTTATTATTCATATAATAAAAACAAAACAATATAAGCACAATACACAATGGATTCAGAAAATGCACACTAAATTTAAACCAACTATCCAGGGACTGCCACGCCTCATCTTCTTCCTTGGACCGTTGTCTTAGGTAAAATACTTTTACCTACGGACATTTGTGTGTAACTATAACCCTGTTCATCTCAAAAAATGCATACGAACAAGATAAATGAAAAGTACAGGTACCAATCAACTCGTCTCATCCTCACGAGCGTCATGGTACCTGAATCAAAGCCCAATTTTTCCTGCATCAAAAACCCTAAACAAGAACATAAAAACCCTAACAATGGTAGGTACGTATATAAGCTTCAGAAATACAATTAAACCATCCTGTTAGCTTGCAAACATGATAATAATCACAAATATGCCAATTAAAAGTGCTAATGATGCGTAAATTGCAATAATCAAATTTGAAAAAGCTTACAAACTGCATGAGGTGTAGAGGAGAATTTTGAGTGCTTCAGACCTTGCAAATGATGGAGATGACTTCAGTGCACGCCCAGGATGTGATGGTTGGCCTTGAATTGCTCTCAAAGGTCCTCTAACCTGCAAACTGAATCTCACTTTTTGTCAAGATTTTTTAGTTTTGTTCTATGCCTCTCACGACCTCTAACCCTTATTTTTTGATCTGGAATTCTTCATTATATAACCTAGAGTGAATTAGGTTAACAAACTTGGAATGAATCTTTGCATTTATCCAAGATTTGATTTGATTTTCAAGCTATATGATATGTTGCTATTTTGAGCCAAATCATGCCTTTCTTGTACCAATTGCCTTTGATTCGATTTGATCATGTTTACTCAGCATATTTTGATTGCCGATATGTCAAAAAAATAAACCAAATCATATCTTTGTTAATTTTCATCATTTATTTGATTTAATTCACTTTTTAATTAATGAAAAATCAAAATAAATTGGAAAAATGAAGCACATAATGGGTGAGTGAACATTTGAGTCGTGGACCACATTATAATTGAGGTGCAAGCATAAAAAGTTGGGCCTATTTAGCAAAATATGCAAATTTGAGCACATTTGACTTTTGGCAATTTTGCAAAAATGGTCAACTTGGCCAATGAATAACTCTCTCAATTTTGACCCTAGATAGGTGTTCTTGGACTTTTTAGAAAGCTTAGGATGTCCTCTAAACAAAACTTTTGGTCTCATCTCAATTGATTCTTTCATATTCATGTATGAAGCTTTGACCCAAAAGGTGTTTTGTTGACTTTTCAAAAGGACCTATAATGTCAAAATTCATATCTTTTTGTGAGTGCATATTCTGAACTTGGGAGTTGAAGATAAATTGTAGGTAATTGCATCCTATTAAAAATGAGCTTTGGATGGGTCATTTCTGATAAAGTATGAGAAAGTTATGCTTGGTCAAAGTTGACTTTTCCTGTAAAACCCTAATTTAGCAACTTTTGGGTTTTGATGAATTGTGAGCAATCCTTGAGGAATCATGATCAACCCTTGATCAAATGATGGATAATACTTAAAAATGAGGAGGTTGACCAAAATTTTTGAAGTTTGACTGTATGTGGGCCACAGTTGACTTTTGACCTAGTACAGTTGATTTTCAAGCATTTGAGCAATTGACTGAGCAAACTTCTTCTACAAGGCTTGAAACTTGACATGGATGATCTTGAGAACATATTGGGACAATGGTGAGCATTTGAATCCTTTTTGGTTCACACATCTTGATGAAGATGGAAACCCTAATTTTAGGTATAGTGCCTTAGGAGAGAGTTTGTCTGGTCAATTCTTGACCCTCCTTGAGCAATTTGGGGACCTCACTTACCATGTGTTGAGAAATATGGGAGGGAAAATTTTGGGGTACAACAGCTGCCCCAGTTCCATCTTCTTAAACCTGAAGATGTAGATTGGCTCGTCTGTCTTTCTTGATCTGAAGGTGGAAGATGATTGAACACTAGAGTGCCCAGAAATTTGCACTCGCATGAAGTGACACTTGATTTGCGATATCAGGAATGGGCTTATAGATGCCATTTGGAAGTTGAGGATTGAAGATTGTCGGGGATGGGCTTAAAGATGTCATCCGAAAAGGTGTTGATCGCATAAGAGATTCCTTTGCGAGAACCCGTATACCTGTTGTTGAGGAGGACTTCGCTGGGGAATGCTGGTCTCTATATTGGGAGAAATAGAGTTTTAGGAGCTTCAGTTGTCCGTTAATCTACTGGGGAATAACTCCTGTTTGAGGAAGCATAAGTGAACTGCATACCTGGTCGGGGTATATGTTGCACCGTGACTTACTGGAGAGACGCGAAACCAATCGTGTTTGATCGAGTCCCGGTCTTACAGTGTTGTGGACTTCCGTCTGGGGATAGGAGAGGAAAATCCCGGATAGTAAGGTTATGAGAAGGAACCTGGGTAGAAGGGTTACTTAGAGATGAAAGCCTGGATAGTAGGGCTGTGAGAAGGAACCGGGATAATAGGGTTACTTTGATATGAAAAGCCTGGATAGTAGGGCTGTGAGAAGGAACCAGGATAGTAGGGTTACTTTGATATGAAAATCCTGGATAGTAGGGCTTTGAGAAGGAACTGGGATAGTAGGGTTACTTTGATATGAAAAGACTGGATAGTAGGGCTGTGAGAAGGAACCGGGATAGTAGGGTTACTTTGATATGAAAATTCTAGATAGTAGGGCTGTGAGAAGGAACCGGGATAGTAGGGTTACTTCGACATGAATGCCTGGATAGTAGGGATGTGAGAAGGAACCTGGATAGTAGGGTTACTTCGACATGAAAAGCCTGGATAGTAGGGCTGTGAGAAGGAACCTGGATAGT